ATTCAGGCGGCATGTGGTGGAGCACTTGCAACGCTGGACCGCTGAGGTTTAGTGCAAGTACTTGTGCCTGCTGCTCTTCGGTCCAGCGATTGGCTTTAGCAAGAATCTCGAACTGTGTTACGTAGGCAGACCATGTGCCTGTGCCGTCAAACTGCAATGGCCGCAGCTTAAGGCGTGGAGTAGATAAAGGTATAGTCGACGCGACGTTTGTCGTCACTGATGTTGGCGGCAGATAACTTGGACTTGCCTGCGAAAGTCCTGGCTGGACGAGAGCTCGCAGGCCGTCAAGAAGTGCGACCGATATTCGTTCGAATAAATTCGACAGAACCTCCAAAAGGGCCGCGTCTCTGTGCCTGAGCTCCTGGGCAGTTCGTTGGTGGTGGGCATCCAGCAGGGCTTCAATGGCCGATGAAGTCCCAGTTCGAATGTTAGGGTCAATGGAGTCGGGAACCGGCCGGGGCGCGATGGCTTCTCCGGTTCGCGGGATCTCATCCTCAGGCTGTCGAGGAAGGTCCATGCGTGCCGGCAGAAGGCGTCTTCACTGAAGATCCCACTTCTGACACCAGTGTAACGCTTTTATTTAAGCGTGTCCTTTTGCCCCAATCTGTTCCCCGCTTGTCCCCGACGTGACGTCTTCTTCCTCTTCTTACAACCGTCACAATACTTTTGCAATTGTCTCCACGTTTGATGTGAGCAGCTGTATGCTGCTTTTCTTACAGTAGCACAATGTGGCTGTCAATGGCCCCTTTTTTGCACGTTTAGGGGGGATTTATGAACAAGCACACCACGAACCGAGGCTCTGTTAACACATTTAATATCCTGTGCTGTTTATGCACCTGCAAATTGTATTGCAGCAAGTAGGCTAAAATAATTTTCGCTCCCAGTAATATTTTTTATGCGAAATATGTTATTAGAAAGCCCATGAAAAGAAAAAAAAACTTTTTTTGAACAGTCTGATTGGGACACGCTTGTCAAAAAAAATTAATTCTACGCGAAAAAAAAATGTTTAGAGCTACACTGACGGCGAAAGATTTATTTGAAATTCTGCGCGCGAAGTCCATGACGTCACGGGTCATTCCGGAATCTTCATCTGGGATTGATCATTCCGCAATGACCATCGCATAAAGGCAGTCTTCGGTAAGTTACTTTTAAAAAGTAATTTGTTACAGTTACAGTTACTTTCAGAAAAAAGTTGCGAAGTTACCGTTACAGTTACGGCAACAAAAGAGTAACTCGTTACAGTTACAGATACTTTTAAAAAGTAACGATGTTACTTTTCAGTTACTTTTTTATAACACAAAAAAGAAATAAGGAAAAACTAGAAAACGCCCCTCACCAAGTTTTATTGGATAAAATTAAAAAGTACGCTTTTTGCTTCATTTTGTAACTTAGCAGAAGTTGCTTCTCGAAATTTGTTTGAAAATTTCCACGCCAGAGTAGTGGCGCAAATCAAAATACGAAACATGCGCAGTGTGGAATACTGGGGCTATCAAAATACGAAACATGCGCAGTGCCCTCCGCGTGTATTGTTGTTTCAAGTTGACTCACCCAATTAAAAAGCGTTTTCACAAAAACAAAAAGCCACAACTTAGATAGTGCCTCAAGACACTATGATTAAGTGCTCAGTCACAAAGTACAAGCGCGTGCGTAAAGATAACTAGATTTTTTTTTCATGACATCTACACGTGGCTATATTCGGGTCGTGACTCGTGAGAAAGAACGTATTCACAAGTTTGTGCAAGGCCAACTTGACACTCCAAATGTCGGAATATACGATTTGAAAAGTGCAAGGAATATGTAAAATTGTACTCGTTCAGGGATATATTTTTTATAAAACACTGGAAAGTAACGACAAAAGTAACGTCATTACTTTCATCGTTACCTTAGAAAAAAGTAATAGAAATAAAGTTACAAGTTACATTTTAAAAAAGTAACTCGTTACAGTTACAAGTTACCAAAAACGTAACGAAATTACAATAACGCGTTACTACCCAAGACTACATAAGGGAAAGGTTATAAGGTCATGAAGGCGACCTTATGCTTTTTTTTTTTTTTTCTACGCGCCCCAAATGCCGGAAAGGATGTGACTGCCGACTAAATCGCGTTTCGCGGCGTCAATAATGCTCTACATTTTTTTTTTTATTCATATAAAATTAATTTTTCTGACACGCGTGTCCCAACCAGAACGTTAAAGAATTTTTTTTTCAGGGGTTCTTCAAATGTGTCGAAGTTCAAAGCATAAAAATCAACTGCAGCAGAGCTCAATGCATCAAATGAAATTAAGAAACAATAAATCTCTTTCGGGTTAATGTTTCCTGTCAACGCTTACTTTTATCAACATGGTCCTGCACAAATTTTTACCATTATGTTCTTTTTGGACCGGTGTGAATTGCAGGTTTTTTGCCCTGTGTAGCTGTCTTCACAAAAAAAAAATCCACAGCAACCTTTTAGCATTGACACAGCTATTTGTAAATAATTACAATATTTCATATTTAAACATTTAGCGAGCAATTTTTCTTACGATATTTTGCCGCGAAGGGGAGAGGCACAAAGGAGCATGCGCGTCAGATCTTCTGCAAGAACGACGGTCGCTTCCCGCAATTCTTGAATAGAAAATGCCGTACCTTTGTGATTCACACCCTTACCAGCGACCTCCGCGCTGCCCCGTGCCCCGTTGTTCGGCAGCACCGTGAGTTGCAGAGTGAATTTTGCGACAGTGTGAAATGCGGGACATTTTGAAGATTTCGGAATTTCTTGAGGGACGCGGGACACGAGTCCTCAATGCGGGATAGTCCCGCGGGTCGCGGGACGGGTGGTCACCCTACTCTCTTCCCAGCATAACAGATTCCTTACACTGTCATACATGACATGTGCACGTGTAATCATTGCGCCATACCGGTGGTCATCCCTACTTGTTCTTGCCGAGAAAAAAAACAACAAATCCGGTCGTGCGAGATGTTTGCCGCAGAGGGTACGCGCTCAGCAGTAACGGACCACCACAATGGCCGCATATATGACGTCACGTCAGACGCCGTTGTGGTGGCCTTGCTGCTCGAGCGCGCACATTCTGCAGCACACACTTTGTACCACAGAATGCGTTCGTGCTTTGTTTTCTCGGGAAGTACATGTAGGAATAACCACCAGCATGGTGCAATAGGACGTCACGCGCAAGCTATGTATACTTTATAAAGCATGGTGCAAAGCGCAAAAACAAAGAATATAAGGAAGACACACACACAGGCTCCATCTTCCTTGTGTTCCTTTGTTTTTTGTGCCATGCACCATAGTGTATAACGTTCACCAACTAGCCCAATTATACTTTTCTGTCAAGGCGTCACTCTGGGACTCCTCGGGGGTTTCTTTGTTCGAATACGTCACAATATAATGACTTCATTACACTGAGCTTGTAAGGCATATGAGTTATGTTGCTCGATGGCAACGGTGGGTGCCAGGAACTGCAGCAAGGGTTACTAGACTAAATGACCGGTAGCGCGCGCGTGCCTCCCCATTCAACAAGTCTCGCACGGCACTCAAATCGCAACGAAGCCTCACCGAAACACACAAAAAAGAACGAGGAACATATTTCCGCCCACGTCGGCTCTCGATCGTGACAGCCAGAACCCACAAAAGAGAGCGGGCAAACAAAGTACAGAGGGACCAGATGTACGGCATCACGATTCGACGATGAAGGCGAGCCATCGGGGGGGGTCTGGTAGCAGCGGCAGAAGAGCTGTCAGTGTAATTGCGATCCGGTCACGGGAAGGCACAGCGATTGTGCGAGCGCACTGTGTCACTGCCAGCTCGCGATCGTGGGTGTGGTCGCGAGCGTCACGCGAGGTGCTCGCCAAAGGTCGCGTCGCCCAGGCGTTCCGCGCTAGTTGACGACGCCGTACGACCGTCCCTTGGCCTCCTTTTTGCTGACCGTGCTCGAGTGGCGGTGCCGAGGTTCGGGCCCCGCTTCCCGACACGGCGACGACGGAAGATTTCCCGGGGCCGCTGCCCTTGGCCCACAGACCCCGTGGACTCGGTGGTTTGTGGTGCCGAACGGCGGGTGCGCGTCGGCGGGATCATCGGTCAAGTGGCAGCCGCCGAGATTGTGCTCGGAGCGCGGAGGTGCGCAGCCGTGCGTTTCGGGGCTGCATGTCCGCGGCGTATAGTGAAGGAGTAAACACGCGGACGTGGTTCTGCTACGGCACGCGCCTTGCACTGAAGACCGTGTCTCCGGTTGTGGCGGTGAATATTATCGGTACAGTCAGCCGGTCTCACGAAAGGCTAAAGATGCGGATGCCCCGCTAAATGATAACAGCTTAGCGCGAGAACACCTCTCGCAGCGGGACGGCTCACCGTTGAAAACAAAAACGACGTGGGACGGCAAGGGGCGCATTCAATGAGCAAATATGTGCATGAGAAGGAAGGGGCAGTCAAAAGTGTTATGTCGTGCTATGTACTATACACACACAGTGATGTGGCTAGAAGCTTGAAAAGGGTAATCTGGCGAATGTTAGCAGGGGAGATGAGAGAACACCCTGAAATATATTATGTGGCTATAAATAAATTAATCCGCTGCTCGCATGGTAATGTAGGCTTAACCATCAAATCCAATCAAACTCGCTGCCAGAAAGAAACAACGGGTCTATTCTAAACCAGAAACCATACTTAATCAGAAAAATATGCAAATCATGTCAATGCACGAGTAATAACAACTGGTTGCAAGCGCGAACAGCTTTGATGGGGTCACGAAAATATGCATATATGTGACTACTACCACGGTGACGTGCGTTTTAAAACAATCCTATACTGATTTCTTTAAAGAATATGAAGTTATATATGAAACAAATGTATAAATAAAGCCACAAGTTCATTCCTCTCTATTCATATTAGTACATACTGATGAACCTTGGTAATGTCCACTTTGTTTAGTAGGGGTAGGTTACATGTGCCGAGAGAAAATTATTTATTTCTCGAACGTTGTGTGCATCGCTTACACAACGCAGGTACACAGACTCGAGCTACCCACCATGAAGACACGGGCCGCCGCAGCAGCCACAATAGCTGCGCTCTTGGGCGGCTGCATCGTGACGTTTTGTAGCGTCTCGGCAGCCGGACATAACCTCCTGCGAGGCAACCCGGCATCCGGCTTCCACAACAGCACTACCAGTCAGAAAATAGGCGCTACCTCCGCTTCCTGGAGCTTCCCTATGACCAGCAGTTTCCCATCGTCCACAACCTCGGCGTACCTGACCACAGCGTCCCCGCCGACGTCGACTTACCTCAAAAACCACGCGACAACGTACTCCTCACCCGACTACGGACCGAAGCCAGCGGGGCCCAGCAAGCAATCCCAAGCCGTCTACACCTACTACAATGCACCCTCCACAACCACCACGTCCACAACCCCAGCTCCGTTCGCGTATAACCTCCCTTACAACCCCATGGACTACTACTTCGAGACTAAGGACGGAGCGAAGGTGAGTCAAGTCACGCCAGGCATGTACAAGGTCAGTCACGGCCCAACGAACTCGCACAAGGCGACCCACGTCAGACCAGACGCGTACAAGGTGGCATCTGCACCCACGACCAACTATTACACGTCCGACTACGAAGACGAGGAGGAGGAACCCGACCGACATCTCTCCCGGATAGAGAAGAAGCCAGACTACGACTCGGTCGAGGCATCGCCGACGTACATCAAGACCAAATACGGCTACACGACCAAGAACCCCCTGGTCAACGACGACCCCAAGGCATCGGGTCTGAGCCGCGATGGTGGTGCGGCCAGCTTCAAAGTCAAGGATAAGGTCGTGGTCGAGAGCGACAAGAACTACGCGACAGCGACCAGTGATCATTATGACTATAAGGGATACGACTACGCGGATTTCGGCTACCCGGACTACGACCATGGTTACCCGCCCTACGCTCACCGGCACAAGCACCACAGCAGCAAGGGACCCCTGGCTCTCTTGCTGGGGCTACTGCCACTAGGCCTGCTGATGGCGGCGCTCGTGCCCAGTGTCATCAATTTGCCCGTGGCGGCTGTTGGTGTGGCCGGAAGGCGGCGCAGAGCATCGGCGGACCAGACCCGTTACCGCAATCCAATCCTGGAGGTCATCGCCAAGTTTGGAGTGAACAGTCTGGAAGATCCCGAGTGTCTGCAGCAGATATTCTGCGAAGTCACGACAGAGGGAAAGACTACGGAGGCCATGCTGATCCAGAAGGTCTTCTATGGCCTTTCTACATTGTAAGTCGTTTCAAGATCTTAGAATCGAGTCTTGTCATTGTCGTAAAGACCACGTGACTTTGATATTTGTTATCGTTTTCCCTCCTTTTCCTTTTGGCTTTCCCGTTTTCAACTTTGTCTTTATCTCTCACACAAAACTAATCAAAGGGCAACATAGATAATGCGCAGGGAACGCGCCATGACACGGCAGTCAAACGCGCGCCGTCATTGCCTGAGGTCGGCAGGAACCAAAAGCAGATTGATGCATTTGGACGGTAAACAAACGCACAGGGTGCACCAAGAGCAGGCGAACTTTTAGTTGTCTAAATTCTAACAACCGCTTTGAAGGAAATCATTAGGCAATTTTTTGACGGAAATGTTAGGTAATTAATTTCCAATCATCACCCTGCACTCGCAACATGACGTCCGCCACGGTAGATAACGTTACCAAGAAGAAAAACATATATATATATATATATAGAGAGAGAGAGAGAGAGATAGAAAACGAAGAGGGGAGAGAGTAATACTTGAATTTAATGCATTAAAGTCAGTCGAAGGGAAAGAGCTGGCAAAACATTTGGCCAGGAGCGGGGTCATATGACACGTCCTCGCTCCCGGACCAAATTTTCACCAGCTCTTTCCCTTTTCCTCACAGTAATGCGTCAAACTCCCCCAATAACCATTCTCTCCCCTCTTCATTCACAATATTAGAACGGCTACACTTGGCAATCTTAGCTCACTCCCTATATATATTTTTTTTCAAGTTTTTTTTTAATTATTATTTTCGGTTATTGGTGAAACACCCTGTATAATCTCCATGAAATAAAAAGACAGAATAAGCAAGGAACGCGCTGCTCGCCTTTGGGCCCTTTTTTCGACAGTGTACCGGTCATAAGAGTTCACATGCTAAATTTGGAGGGAAAGTTCCTAAATGGCGGTACACATAGGCCACATTTTCGGCGGCACATCAATACACCTGAAGCTCTGAGGAAATACAACCATATTACTCGGATTTTTCTAGTTTCATTGGTTTCATAACACGCAGACGGGGGACATCGTTTCTGGAAAACTAAAGGTGACAAATTGCAGGAGTCCAACGCGCCGCCGCAAAACGAACAAGCCCGATCTTGCAACAGCTGTTTGTGTTTTGTTTATCTTTCGCTTTTTGTTCCTCTTTTTCATGTTCTGTAGATCGCAGCGGACGCAACGAGCCATCACAACCAGTCCAACCCTGCTAACGCCTCACGTGATTAAGTGCGTCGGTGCGTCCCTTCCGAAGGTCACGTGACATCTACACGGCATTTGGTTGGCCTAGATGACTCGTACCTTCCGCTGCGGTTCATTGTAAGGTGAAACGAAGCATATCGATGTCAGCACTCGCGATTTCACGCTCTCCACTCCTCCTCGTCTTCGCATCCACACCCCGAATTCGGCACACCGCTGGGCTCCCGTGCGTCGGGAGAAGCTACTCTTCCAGGCCGGTCGGCCCGCGCACCGAAGGCCACAGCAGGATTTTTTGGGTGGAAGGGAATGGGGGGAAGGGGGGGAGGGGGGGGGGTGAAGCCCCGTAAGATCCCCCCCCCCCCCCCCCCCGGCTACTCCCCTGCGCCACAGTACGAAACCAGTGACGTAGCGGAGGGGTTATGGGAACACGACCTGGATAAAGTCCCGCTCGCTCCTCCTCTTCCTCTTCCTCACCAACCACACACCTTCGGCGCGATTTGTCTTTATTAAGATGGGTGTCTGGAACGCGTGTCTCCAGCCGGTGTGCTTACCGTGTCCTAAAAAGTGGTCCATCGATGTGCGCACGACGATGTCATACGAGTGCCACGCTCTCGCCAGGCGCGATTCTGGCGGTGTCACAGTAGAGGCGGAGCGTGTGTGACAGGCCCCTGTTCTGCTGCAGGTCGTCCTCCAGCTTGGCAGTCTCCGAAGCTAAGAGGTAGCGATGCTAGTCTGTCTGTGTCTATATTTTCTTTGTTCATGCTGGAAATTTAGCCGTATTTTGTTTCTGCTATTTTTCTCGCTAATGCTTTATCTTTAACTCTAAAAATTGAACTGCAGGTAGATTTGTTACTTTGCTTGTGGTACACAAACGACAATGCGGGATGTGCCTGTGACTTCGTCAAGATGTCGTTGTGACAGCTCTTTCCGCACGTCTCCATTAACGTGTACTTAGTACCTGATGCGAATTTAAAAGAAAATCAAATCAACGTGTCGGCAGCTAGGAGTTGAGACGCCGCGGCGACAGGGACAGGGTTCAATCATAATATCTTGCCAATACACCTTTTTTTATAATTTTTGCCGCCACCTAGACACGCGACTGGGTTCGAGGCTAAGCGGCTCTAGAAAACAACGTACGCGCAAGGCCTCTCCCACCCGTTCGACACTCGAAACGTCAGCTATATCCTGTTGGCCCATTGAGGCGCTCTGACCTAGACACATAGCTGCCCCGAACTTCGCTTCTTTTTTTTTTTTTTTTTTTTTTCACATCATCGATTATTTTCCCTCTTTGCTCGGCCAGAAGGAAGAGAGAGAGAGATGGTACCACGGTCCATTTACTCTCGAACCAATATTTTCGCATAAGCGTCAGGATCGCGACATCAGAATGCAAGACACTCCGGCTTTTTGTGGCGTCATTTGTTGCCACTTCGTGACCGCTTTCGACGGACGGGCGAGATGCGACGCTAACCACACCAGTCGAAAACGGGTTTCAGACATCGTAGTCGTGCCAACGCGCGGAGCACCGATCAGACAAAAACGCTGCACTGCCATTTACTTAGTGGGCGCCGTTGTCCCATCTCTGTCAGACTGCATCTGACGTCAGATCATGTTAAGGCTAACCTTTTCGCGTCGATACGCTGCTCTAATTTCAGAGTCAGCGACCTGTGGGCAGAGAGGCTCGGTCTCGGGCAGCTTTTCAAGGCGGTGAAGAAGGGCAGTTGCGACGCCTTCCGCTGCTCCCCTCAGAGGCACAAGCCGAAGAAACCGACCAAGCCCAAGGACAGGAAACCCAAGGACGACAAGGCGAAGGAAGGAGGCTCCAAGGAAACACCCTCGAGATAAATGTAAAGCCCAGATGACCCCAGCAACGCCTCGTCGCTTTCTTCCCCGCCCCCTCACCCGTTCTGTAAATAAATAAAGTTCGTCCATAGACCATTCCTCTAATCGCCTTCTAAACGCTGCTATCCTTGTTCACTGGGTCGTGGAACGCGTGTGGCCAAGCAGGTGCAGTTGCTCCTCTGCAAACACCAACACAATGACTCGGTGTTTTGTGTTTTTTTTTTCTTGTGCGATACGTGTTGACAAATAAATGGCAATGCAAAATAGAGTTCTGCTTCCATGTTGATGGCATACCTGCCACACCTACAGGAACTATAGTGACCGCAGACATCTCACCGAGTCTTGGCTTCGCTACCCAAAATAAAACATTTTCGAAATACTCAGATTTTAATAAGGTGGATCCCACACTTGGAACAGCTTGCGACTGGAGTGCAGAAAAACCGGTTTGAAGCCTCGTGTGAGTGCTTACGACCGGCTCGCTAGCGGTCGTAAGCAGTCATAGAAGGCTTAAAATTCGGTTTTACAGCGGAGCTGTTAAAAGCTAGTTTTTCCAGGATCGTGTCCGTCCTCAAAGAAATCTCGACACAACACTCTGGACAGCTGCCGCCATCTATGAGTGACGGCGGCAACAAGTCAACCGGCAATTTGCCGCCGTCGCTCAGAGATGGCGGTAGCTAACCAGAGTGTTGTTTGCCAGTAGTCTGGTTGCCGCCGTCGCTCATAGAGGGTATAGCAACCTTTCCAGCCTTTCCACTCTGGCTTGCCGACTTGCGGCCGGCCATTACTTCATTCCCAATAGTAGAGCTTCGCTGGTCTTCCTTCTTCACCAAAAAAAAAAAAAAAAAAAAAAACTGAAAGGTTTTTTTTTTGTTTTTTTTTTAAGGTGTGTTTACACATTAGCGCTTGACTTCAACCGACTGAGACAAGACCGGTTTTTAAAGAAAAACTTAAACACTTCTTGAAAAAAAAAAAGAGTAAGAGAGTGAATTCTGGCGCATTTTACAGCGGAGCTGTTAAGGGCCAGTTTCCCCAGAAACGTGTCCGTTACCAAACAAATGTCGACATAGCATTCTGGTTGCCGCCGTCGCTCATAGATGGCGGTAGCTGTCCAGAATTTTGTATTTGCCGGTTGTCTGCTTGCCGCCGTCGCTCATAGAGCGCGGCAGCATTTCTTCGGAGAAAGAAGAGCGGGAACGGAACGAGCGGCGATGAGCTCAGCAGCGCGAATGGTTTCACAACCGCCGCTATCGCCTAAAGTACCACTGCGTAGGGCGCTTCAGATTTCCTTGCGAAAGAAGAGCAGATCGCTCGCCTGGAAAGCCACCGCCGAGAACAGAAGCTACAGCTCTGCTGCTCATCCTTCTTCACCAGAATGAAAAGACTAAGTTTTTTTGTTTTTTTTTTCGTGAATCTGAGTATTACTTTTGTTTTCCCCGAAGATGTAACTAAACGCGTGAAAACACGAAAAACTTCCGACCAGTCTTGACATCATACTAGGATTGTGAGGAGGTTCGATATTCGTAGTTAAGCTCTCTGTGGATACATTAAATTATCGACGAGGCAAGTACTGTTTTAGAGCGCCCGTTTCCGGTTTGAGCGGCGTCGCCGTTGGCGTAACCGCGGCGACGTTTCGGCATGGTGACGTTTCGGCATCGTGCCGAAACGTCCTCGCAGGGTCACGTGACCCCCGTGAGGTCACGAGGGTGACGCGACGTTACGACGGTAACGTGACCTCACGGTTACGCCGACGGCGACGGCGACGCCGCTCGGAGGGAGGAGTAGCAGGCAGTATGAGGAGTTGAGGAGGGAGGAGGGGTATACCCTTTCCTCAGTACCCTTCCCTCCTCCTCCTCAAGAGCTGCGCTCTAATTCGGCGTTACAGGGAGTTGTAAACGGCTTTCATTTTTTGTGCGAGTTTTAGTAGTCACGTTGAAAATCGTTCAGCCTTTCCACTCTCGGGAAGAAGGAAGACCAGCGGAGCGGTACTCGATACACTGTGTGCTTCTTCTATTATAGCTGGAAAGCTTGCCGCCATCTACGAGCGACGGCGGAAACCACACTGGTTGTGTGCTTGCACTCGTCGCTTATAGATGGCGGTAGCTGTCCAGGTAGGTTTGTGCCGACATACACGGACACGATCCTGGGGAACCTAGCCCTTAACAGCTCCGCTGTAAAAACAATAGCGAACGAATCTAAGGAAAAGCATGAAATACGTTACGGGATACAAAATTCGAGTAGGGTATGCCTCTAAAACAACTATTTAATGTGCTACTGAATATTTAATGCGAGTCTTGAGTCAAATCAGCTAGTGGACGTTAGAGTGAAACACCACACCACTTTACCTCCCCTGGCAACGACGAATCCCGGAGAAAAGCTTACCGGAGAAAAGCTCACCGGAGATAAGCTCACCGAGAAAAGCTCACCGCAAAACCGGCGGATGCGGAGAAAAGCTAACCGGCCATGTATGCGGAGAAAAGCTCACCGATTTTTTTTCTTCTTTTTATATGGAGGCTATTGGATCGTGCGTAACATATATAAATTTATTATCATTAAACTTTGTCAGCTTTGTAAAAAAGAATGTCCTTTTTTGTATTATTTGTAAGTATATCGCTCCCAAATTAATAATTGCGGGCGAGTGTTTTCTTTGACTTACTCTGTAGGCAACGAAAGCCCAACTCAAATTTTTATGAACTTGAAGAACAGAAAAAAGTTCGAAAACTTAATAATGTCTGCCTAAAACGTAAAAATCAAAACTGTAAATGCCGAAAATGCAAAAGTGCATGCGCGCAACAACACGGTGCCTGAAATTCTCTTTGAAGCTTTTGTTAATTTTTGAAAACAGTATAAAACAGTCAGTAAAATATCGAAACTTTTTTTTTTTTTTTTTTACTGAGAAGCACGTTTTTTAGCCGTTCGTGCTGGTGTTTCGACACGTTGCCTTTGTGTGATAGTGCCTTTCTACGGCGAGCCACCCATGACCTTCAGAGCTGCACACTGGCACCGCTGCTACTCGTGACCTATATAAAAAGTAGCCTTCTGTAAGCTAGCGAATAGGGCGAGTTGGTAAACGTTGTACATGAGAAAAACCGCTCAAACGACGATGACGAAGTGAAGACAACAAACACGACAGAACGAATCTGTTCTCGGAACTAAAGTTTTGTTAGTGAAATTAACAGAAAAAAAAAAAAAAACAGCGTAGCCGACACTGATTACATCAACAAACACCTACTTATCTGTTAGGCACTACACAATATTTGAAACTGAAACGGTTCACACACCGCAATTCATATTAGCTCGCAAAGAGCAAACATCTTTATTTGACAGAGCTGTCTTTTTTACCGGTGTACGATGTTCTGATTTTATACTTGCGGCTCCATTAATATACAGAATGGGTGATTACTAATTTCTGATGAATTAGTAAATGTGCCCAATGAACTTCAAGGATATCACAAAAAAGTGGACATATTTTTAATGAAGTGACGATTGCGAATTATGTTAAATTATAACGTTTGATGCAGAATCCGCTAAGTTAAAAAAAAAAATCGGTGAGCTTTTTTTCGCATTTGCCGGTTTTGCGGTGAGCTTTTCTCCGGTGAGCTTATCTCCGGTGAGCTTTTCTCCGGCGAGCTTTTCTCCGGTGAGCTTTTCTCCGCCGCCCGGCAACGACGGTGGTAACGTCGTGGCAACAATGTGGTGGAGATAAATGTCTTCCATGGTCGCAACTTTTTTTTTTTTTTTTTTCGATCAGCGTATTTGCAGATTTTTAAGCCACAGAAATGGGTTTCATATCCTTTTTAATTTTTAATATTGAATATGTTCCTTAGATGATCCAAGACTTTGAATATTTAGGATGGTATATTTAGAACGCCACATGACCATGAAAAAGAGATGGAGTGCGACCGTCTGTTTTCGGGCGGAAAGAGAAGGAATTTCGAGCCGCAAATTGTGTTCTGGGTAGTTGGGCTCCATGTTTTCGGATAAATCCGAAAAACTCCGAAAAACACCCGCCAGCAAATTTTTGGTCAATTCGGATTTATCTGATAAACTCCGAATTTTGATGTGGCAATGTCCCCCTCCCCCCACTTCCCCCCCCCCCACCCCCCCCCCCCCAAAAAAAAAACAATTAAATAAAGACGGTATTTTACAATCAAGTTTGATCAGTGCACAGAATCAATGGTCCCAGGAAAATGGATTCCACGTCAAAATGTCCAACGAGACGAAATGTCCAACGGGTCAGAATGTCCAATATTGGACATTTCGTCTCGGTGGACATTTAGTCTCGTTGGACATTTTGACCTGCTTGGACATTTCGTCTCGTTGGACATTTTGACTCTTTGGACATTTTGACCCGATTAGACATTTCGTCTCGTTGGACATTTTGACTCTTCGGACATTTTGACCCTATTGGACATTTCGAATCAGTGGACGTTTTCACCCGATAGACATTTTGACCTCTTTGTATCGTGGGCCAGGCTCTGGCACTGCATAATACTGAGACGGACGTCTTTAGAATTCCTAATACTTACACGCGCCCCGGGTTTTCGCTAAAGCGGTAGTAGTGTGATGACTTGAAGAGATCTGACAAACGTTTTTGTGGAAAAAAAATATTTCTAATCGCAAAAAAAAAAAAAAACTTATATACGTTGCGGACGCTGAAAGTCCGCTAAAATATAACCCTAGCGGTTAGAAGAAAATGTCAAATTTCAGATTTGTGCTCTGGTTAAAAGGTGGGGGGTGACTTTTTTTTTTTTTAATTAACTAATGGGGCTTGTTCCCGGTGACGGACGCTATTCATCTTCATGTACTCGCGGGCTCTGCTGACCAGCATTTCAGCACTGAACATTTCTAAGCATTGCCTAATATGAATCAGACTACGCTATGTTCTGAAAAATTGGGTTAAATGCTCCAGCCGCTGGAGTTATATACTGGCGGGGTTGGTGCTGACCGCGATATCCAGCATATTTTTGCGATGCTTAAAACAGGGTTTCCTTCCTTAACCTGCAAATTAGGAGACACCTAAGACAATATAATTAAACGTGATAAATAACGGCAGCAAATTCAATAATAGATTTTGTAATTAGGATAAGGCGATTGAAGCAAAGATAAAATAGCGCTAACTGAAACTTTAGATTAGGTAGTTGGTTCATGACTAAAATTAATGAAAAACGTAAAAAGACACGAACGAAAAAAAAAAAGAAAGGTTGTGTTCTATGTCTTCGTTTTCGTCTGTATCTTTTTGCCTCTACAATGTTATCTTATATTGAGCCA